TATTAATAACATCAATAATGATGATATAATGAGGATGAGGATGATGACGAAGGCAATAATAATAGTAATGTCAATGACAATGATTATGCTAATAAATCATATAAGTTACAGTACTACATTATCAATTTCATAATTGCTATCATTATTAACATCATCAAAATATCACAAGAAAAACTAAAAATATCATAACAACACTTATAAGACCAATAACAAACGTCAACCCTAATATGAAAAATATCAATGGCAGTCCTCGAGGATAAGCGACCCCCCCTATCCCCCATCCCCCTACCCCTACCCAGAAGCCCTTAAACCACGCCCCCTTCTGATCACGTGAGGAGAACCCCTCCCCCCTCCCCCGACCTCCCCCCACCCCCCGCAACCCCGCCCCAAAAGTTCTCCGGGAGTCGAGTCCCCATACTTACTCGTCGACGCCAACCATGTGATTGGGGACCTCTTCCTTTGATAGCTTCGAGAGCTCCTCCTCCCCGCAACAGCTATGGTAGCTCATCATTTCCAGAGCTACCTGTAAGGGTGGGGAGGGGGCGGTGACGTCATTTGAGTGAGAGAGAGAGAGATGTGTTTGGTGGCGGTGGTATGGATCCGCTTTTTAAATACTTTTTTTTTTTAGTATTGTTTGTGGTTTGTATACACTTTATTTTTGGATAATTTTTTTGATTTTTGGTTTGTTTCCTCTCCCCCTTGGAAGTCGCTGGTACGCTCGTTACAATTACTTTTCCTTTGTAATCATAATTTTTCTGTATGCTTTTTTTTGCGGGGAAGGGGAAGGGGTTATGGCACTTGGACGGGAATGGGGAGAAGCTAGAAGGAAAGGGGAGGAGAATGAGTGGGAAGAGAAGGGGAAGAAGAACGCATGCGGCAGCCTAGACGAATACCGTGGAACTGTCGGTTAAGCCTCGTCTTACTTGGATGTAGTTGACGAATTAGAAAAAAAAACTCCAAAGATTATCGTTCGTGATATCAATCAAGTAAATTAAGCAATCAAAAAAAAAAAGTGACTTAGTCTACACTTCCCGGTACATTCATAATATTTGTATTATTTACGGCTCTGCAAACTGAAGAGAGAAAGGATAGGTTAGTCATCCCTGCAGACGAGCATGTAAAGAAAACGTGATTACCCAAAGAAAACGAGAAGACGGCGGCAGACATCTACACGGGGAAACTTATGTAGATCCTTACGAGATACTTACTCATCCACCCCAGGAGGTGCTTCACTAAGACTTTGTGCTTGTATAAGGTCTAATTCTTCATCATTACATGAGTTGTGGTAACTGAGCACCTCTAACGCTACCTGCAACAGGATGCAACTCATATGTTAATTCATCTGCAATGTGCAAAAGACAGAGAGAGAAAGAGAATGGAAATAATCTCAGTTGGAAGAACAAAGGCCCGCTTGATCCTCTTCTACCTCCGGACTCTTAAATACCTGTAATATATAAGGTTGTAAAAATAGATATGAAAGTTTTACAAAATTAAGCATTACTTAAAAATGAGTCACTAACTAGTTTTTTGATTGGTTTAACCGAAAGTTTAAACTATGTACATACACACACACACACACACGTATATGCACACAAATACACAAGTATATAAATATACATATATATAATATATATAAATATATAAATATACATATATAATATATATAAATATATAAATACACACACACACACACACACACACACACACACACACACACACACACACACACACACATATATATATATATATATATATATATATATATATATATTTACACACACATGTATGTATATGTATGTATGTATACAGACACATACACATATATAACATCTGCTGATAGAGGCATAAGAGAGGAAACTTACAAAAAAACCCTTTGCGTAGGTTGGCTTCGTGGAGATCGATTCTTGTCACGACTCGCTTAAAAACTGCCATAAAACAGAATTACCTGATGATGAAAACCTCATTGTAAACAAGTTAAAACTTTTTTCCTCCTCCCCATCCGCCTCCCTCCCCTCCCTCCTGCCCTCCCCCTCCCCCTCCCCCATGTGCCTATCCAACAGATCATTTCTTTTGAAACTTATCAAAGCAAGCCGTAAGACTGCGGTAACAAGCTAGCTAGGCACGGCGCGTCAAGCTCACAGTTGATGCCATTCGAGAGAAGACGAAGAAGGAAAAAAATCGACGCAAATGTTGCCATAATGAGAGAATTTCCTACACATGGGTGTGGGTTGAATGTTGTTTACCCCTGTTGCCAAGGTAGCGAACTAAGGCCCGTATTGAATTCATTGACACAATACGCTACGGCAATGGCGAAGTTGCCGGCTCCGCGTGCGACCGCTGTTGGAGGGATGGCTGCGGTCAGGCGCTTGCTGCAGACAATGTGTGTGCGTGTGTGAGTGTATATATATATATATATATATATATATATATATATATATATATATATATATATATATATATATATATATATCAAGGACGCATATACACTCATATACATATATACACGCACATAACTCTGTCTGGTTATCTATCTATCTATCTATTTATTTATCTGTCTGATTATTTATCTATTTATCTATCTATTTATCTGTCTGATTGTCTATCTATCTATCTATTTATCTGCCTGATTATCTATCTATCTATCTATCTATTTATCTGTCTGGTTATCTATTTGTGTATATATATATATATGTGTATATATATATATATATATATATATATATATATATATATATATATATATATATATATATATATATATATACCCAAATTTAACAATCATGATAACAAAATATATAATAATACGGAACGTATTATTATATATTTTGTTATCATGATTTGCCGGTTTCGATTCCGGCAAAAAATCTAGGGGGATAAACCGACCATTTCAATATATACCTCAGCAAGTCGCCATCTCTCTAACCTTCTGACGAGTTTTCTTAGCCGGTTTTCGTAATCAAGGAGCACTCTGCATGGCCGACATTAGTGGCAGACTTCGGAGAATACGAGCGCATAGCAGTAATAAGGAAGAATTGCAGACAGAAAATCATACATATAGACAGAGACACTTGGAAACGTGTAGGTTAGGTGACGTAACTAGCAAAGATCGTGTTATTAGATGGCATAGCAAATGTGTAATAACAGTGGCTGAAATTATGACTTAGGGCCTTTAAAGCATAACTTAAGGGAAAAAAGACGACTTTATTCGCGTTGGAGAGAATCACGAAGCTCGCGAGGAACATATCGAGTTCAGGATCTTGCCAAGAGCTACTGGGGTAATATAAAACATCCATATTCGATACTATTTCTTTAAAAAACTCAAAGGCAACCATTTTTTACAAATCTTTCCTTCAATAATTCGACAAAAAAGGAAAGAAAAAGAAAAACAACAACTGCACACTTTGGATTTGTGGAGATCGAATCCTGGCAGCTGGAGGGAATAAATGAGGCTAATATAATCGGCTCATCTAAACGAACAAAGAATTCTGAGAATTAAATCAAAGTCTTGTCATTCCTATAGATTAATCCAATACAGGTAAATGCTGACGTATTTCCTCAACCTCGCGACTGAATCTTGAATCTCGTTTGACATTTTAGAGAGAGAGAGAGAGGGAGAGAGAGAGAGAGAGAGAGAGAGAGAGAGAGAGAGAGAGAGAGAGAGAGAGAGAGAGAGAGAGAGAGAGAGAGAGAGAGAGAGAGAGAGAGAGAGTAAGAGAAAGGGGGAGAGAGAGAGAGAGAGAGAGAGAGAGAGAGAGAGAGAGAGAGAGAGAGAGAGAGAGAGAGAGTAAGAGAAAGGGAGAGAGAGGACAAGGGGAAGGAGAAAGACAGATGTAATGGGAGACTCCACACATTCGAATCCAAAGCGTCTGACTTCGGCACACCTCAAGGGAAAGATTCTGCTATTTGATACGAAGATGATACTTGCATCAAACCCCAACCGAGTAATGTAACAGACTGTTGATATATTCTCAATGGCTACGGAGCGAAGCATAATAATCTCTGAATAGAAAAAAAAACATGGTACTCTGTCTATAAAGCCATTGTCAATATTTTATGTAAATAGTGTTAAGCTTCAGTAAATCTCAGGATGACCGCCAGGGGAATAGAGCTCAACTGAAATCTAGTGAAAAAAATACAATTAAATAAAGTAGGATAATACTCCGTAGAGTTTTAGGAATAATTTCCCGTTCAACAGGAATACACGTGTACATGAAAAAGATCCCCTGAGAAGAAACTCTGTTTTTTGTTTCCTTAAGCCTAAGAAACGCATCAGCCTCCGTTTTCTTTGTTTGGGCCAAGCGTTCCCGCCTACGCAGTTCGTAAGAAAGGTAAATAAATAATAAAAATAAATAATAATAATAAATAGGGACAAGTAAATAATAGAAGAGAGGCATAGTAAATAAAGAGTAAAATAAGTAGATGACCAGGAACGGCGTGAGGACTTCATGGTTCTTAAGCATCTAAGTAAATAAACAGATAAAAAATAGCCTACAAAATAAAACAGAAAATTTCAAATCGCCGGATATAACGGTAACAAAATATCTTTCCTGGAGGATGGAAAGAAGTGAAAAAAATACTCAAGACTGTATTATCCTAAGAAATTTTCCCGATAACACTGAGCTAATTCACCAGAAGACGGAATCTCCCACAAGCAAGCCGGGATCTCCAACAAGCAAGCCGGGATCTCCAACAAGCAAGCCGGGATCTCCACCAAGCAAGCCGGGATCTCCAACAAGGAAGCCGGGATCTCCAACAAGCAAGCCGGGATCTCCAACAAGCAAGCCGGGATCTCCAAAAAGCAAGCCGGGATCTCCCACAAGCAAGCCGGGATGTCCAACAAGCAAGCCGGGATCTCCACCAAGCAAGCCGGGATCTTCAACAAGCAACCGGGATCTCCATCAAGCAAGCCGGGATCTCCAACAAGCAAGCCAGGATCTCCAACAAGCAAGCCAGGATCTCCAACAAGCAAGCCGGGATCTCCAACAAGGAAGCCGGGATCT